TATATATATATACAAGGAGAGCTAGTATAATTACACTGCTGATGTCTATTGGTTTAATGAAAGGAACATTTAATCCTTATATTGTATGTTTTTATTTTTCTCTTTTTTCTTCTTGATCAATTTTACATGCTTATATCTATCTGGAAATCTGAACAACTAATTTGAAGACAACAATGTGCAATGTAACAACCGTTGTTGAATTATTTAGTGAAGCTCTGTAACATTTCTAATGTTTTCTTTATTACTTTTTATTCTATTTAACTGTTTGATCAATCTTGCATTCTTACATCTGGTAATCTGGGCAACTTTGTCAAAGATAACAATATGTAATATAATGACCATTGTTAACACCTATCATTTTGTTTTGAAATCCTTTATCATTTTTATTGTTTTTGTTTTGCTTTGGTCTTTGTTGTTGTTGCTTTATTATTTTTAAAAATTCTTTAAAATTAAAAAAAAAAGAATTTGAGCTGGTTTTCAACAGGATAGGCCAGACTTGTTGTCAGCCTGAAGTATGGGATCCCAGCACTGCCTCTCAGAACCCATATATACACATTCTCATCAGTGACATTGAGATTTGGACAGTATTAAAGGACGCAGACACCAGGAAGAGCCTGTTATGGCTTCCTCATGAGGGCTCATCCTGTGTCCTCGGGTATGCTTTTATCTTGTGTCTTCCTCTTTTATTAGGCCCAAGCTCAATCTGCACAGTCAGTGTTTCCCTCACACTTCACTTTTAATTTTTCAAATAAATTTTACCACTGCTTTTTGTTTATTTCTTTCTGTTCTTTGTTTGAGATTATAAGAACCTGGGATCTAACTCCAGAAGGAGAAACAAAAAACCCAATTTTGTCCTATTCATAACATTTTTTTTTGAGACAAGGTCTTGCTATGTAGCCCAGGCTGGCCTTAAACTCACACTGATCCTCCTGCCTCAGTCTCTTTAGTGCTGGGATTACAGGTGTGTGCCTGGATTCATTAATATTTATTCTGAAAGCCACTTTTAGAATGAGCTAGCCAATTACATCTTGGTGTATCCATCCAAGACTAAAATTCAGGTACTGGGCACCAGCATAAGACCTATGTCATGCACAAATTCTATTTCTCTCTGAGAGACTTTTTTTCATCTCTTCTCCTTTCCCTTTCTCTCTCCTCTAAACTGGAAATTGAGGGACTCTTCTCAAGGTGCTAGGGAAGGGCTTCCTGTCTGGCCATGGGAATCAGGAAAGAAAATGTACGATTTTGTTTTTATTTCTAGCTGCTTGCCCTCACTCTGTGGGTCCTTATTGTCTACACATTTGTTTGTTGTACTTTGCTACTCTTTCTGAAGTTAACCTAGTCTTCACTTACCCCAGTTCTGTAAATGGCTTTAATGTCTTGGCTTGTGTTGTGTTTGTTTGTTCTCCCCCCCCCCTTTTTTTTTAGGAAATTAACCTTGTCTTTACTTACTCTGATTTTGTAAATGGCTTTTTTCTTTCTTGGTCTGTGTTTTGATGTAACGCTAAGATTAAGGATGCCCCTCCCTAGGTGTTTCTTTCTCAGTTTGTGTGATTCTGGGATGAAGGGTAAGATGCTAAGATTAAGGGTCCTTTGTAAATAGGCTTAGAGTCCCCATGGAATCATGTGGCTAGTCATGTGCTTACATCAACTGCCACCAAATTTCTCTCTCTCTCTCTTTCTGTCTTTCTTTCTTTGTTCTTCTTTCTTTCTTTCTTTTTCCTTCCTTCATTTCTTTTTCCTAAGTGACCTTATAAGCTAAGTCTCTGATTTTCAAGAAAAAGAGGGAGGAATTTATTTTCATTTTGAATTGTTTTAATTGACACTGTGGCTCTTCCCCACATGGAAGAGAAAAAAATTATGTGTTTTAAAAGGAAACATCCAAAGGTTTTGCAGAGGGAAGGCAATAGCTGAGAGGGTCTGTTCAAACCAGGTTACTCTGCTTATTCTCTCTCCCAGGTGGCACCACTTAGACAGAGATGTCTGCCTAATCTGTGCTAGGGCCTCAGTAGGGATGCTTTGTGGAACCTTTTGGCTTTTTCCTTCTGTGTGGGACACCATTTTAAGGAGTCAAGACCTAGTTATCTTTTTCTCTCTATAGATTCCAAGCTAAGCCAAAGGGAAACCTCAGATTTTGCCAACATGTGGATTTCACTAGCTTTGTCACTAGGCAGTATTCTTGGTAAGTGGGAAAAGTTTGATCCTGAAAACCTAAAACAAGAACAGCTTATCTACTTTTGCAGTACTGTTTGGTTTCAGTACAAATTGGGAGGTGGCAAGAGATGTGTATGGATGGCACTTTAAATTATAAGACTATTCTCTAGTTATAGTATTTCTGCTTAAAACATACAAGGTGGAATGAAATGCC